ACAGACGACGTTGTCATCAGCATACTGGAGTTCTATAACAGATGTTGTTGTAACCTTGGTTTTGGCTTTCAAGTCTGCTGAGGTTAAACAGCTTGCCATCTGTCCGATAGATGATTTCCACTCCAGTGGGAGGCTTCCCATCAAGAAGGTGAAGTATCCAAAAAATACCCGCTCCAGCACCTTACCCAAAAAAGGGAGGTTGGAGATCGGTCTGAATGCAGAAGATCATCATTCCCACTGGCATTGACAATGATCATTCATATCAACAAGAGCAAATGCATACGCTATCCCATAATACATGTATCTGTTTTCAAAGTTTGCAGTACCACACCCTCCAATCAATGCAACAACAGCAATCACAATGTGGAAAAGGAAAAAAATACCCGCCCAAGCATGAGTTGGAACAGGTGGGTGCCTACCTTTGACGTCTTCTTCGCCTGGCTGAGAGAGAGTGGTCCTGGCGCTGGGTTCATGCAGGAAGGTTGCACGACTCTTCCATAATGGGGTACCAATGTTTGAAATAAATCAATAAGCAGTGTGTTCCCACAGCATTCTCTCCTGACATTTGGCCTGCAAATGCTAAGAAGATGCTGACGGCGTCTTCAGAGGTTCAGTTGGAAATGAGGCAGGTGGGCTGGAGGGAGGTGTGGGTGTTTCCATTGCCCACCTTGATGAGCTTTCTAACGGCCTTGCAGCTTTCGAGGTCATAATAATAATAGTAATATTGACACAGGCCATTGTAGTAATGATAATAATAATAATAATAATAATACAAGATTGGCACATATGAACATTGGCACATAGGGCTTTTTAAATATTATTATTTAATTATTATTATTATTTAAAAAACCCTATGTGCCAATGTGCCAAGGTCAAAATAATAATAATAATAATAATAATTATTATTATTATTATTATTATTATTATTATTATTATTTTGACCTTGGTTTAATGGCACAAAGGCTTTTCCATGATAATGATGACGTTCATGGCCAAAACCATTGAGCTGTTATGGTTTTTTTGGGCTGTCTGACCAGTGTGCTCCAGCAGCATTCTCTCCTGACATTTGTCCCGTGAATGCTAAGATGCTAATGGCATCTTCAGAGGTTCTGTTGGAAATGAGGCAAGTGGGCTGTCTATCTATCTATCTATCTATCTA